TATTGATATTACGCGGCAGAATATGGACATACGAGGATGAAGAATGGATGAAGCTCATTGTGGACAAGATTGAAATTGAGATTTGTATTGTATTTGATATGAAGATATCGGAATTACGTGTTACAATATGTTGACCGTAATATGGACCACCACATCCACTGTCAGAAGCTGAGCTCCGTCCAAGAATGCAGCGGTGAGTAACGGGTCATGAGGTTTGATCTCCTCTGCGTAAAATAAGCCTATACCACGTTTGGTAACAAGTCAAATCCAGGCCCGAAGGCGGGAAGAGACGGTAAGGGCCAGAGTGTTGCAGAGGATCCAGTAGATGGATAGAGAGGAAGTGTTATTGTCTTGACAGGATCCGGCTCGCACAGGGAAAGGCAGCAAGTAGACCGTGAGAAGCAATCAGGAGGGTTTTTGGGGGAGGTACCGAAGGAAATGATTGAACGAGATGTCCAGCGCAAAAACACTTATCATTTTTTGCCGAATGCGAAAACAACAGTGGGAATTCTAGTCATGACTCGTAAGGGTATTTTGGTTTTGTTCGTGAGAACGATCATATTAAGTAACTAGCATGTCGATACATCATCGCGACCGCCATGATACATGTGTGATCATTTACTCGGAGGGGACTAAAAGTTTATTAGCATGCTGCGAACGGTGCCGATACTGGGGTCACGGTGGAACATACCGTCAATCTCGCCAGCCTTGATGTCGTCAGAGACGTCCTTGGGGCTGCGACCATCGACCTGGCAACCGACGGAGAAGGCGGTACCGAGGATCTCAAGGACGGTACCCTTGAGCTCCTTGGCCAGAGAGCGGTTGCGCATCTGGCGGGCAATCTCGACGATCTCATCGAGAGAGACGGACTTGTTGTGCTTGATGTTCTTCTCCTTCTTGCGGTCACGCGGGGGCTCCTTGAGGGCCTTGATGACAAGGGAAGAGGCGGAGGGCACAACGGAGACGGCGGCCTGACGGTTCTGGATGGTGAGTCTGACGGTGACACGCAGACCCTTCTATAAAACCCGAAAAACGATATTAGCGACTGGTCCCCTGAATCGCGGGAGTGAGTGCGAGCGCGGTGGTTCCATACCCAGTCACCAGTGTTCTTGGCGATATCTTCACCAATCTTCTTGGGAGACAGACCGAGGGGACCGATCTTGGGGGCCAGAGCAGACTGGGCTCCGACCTCACCACCAGTCACTCTCAGGTGACTAATATACCGGTTAGCATTGCGTTCGTCGAAGATTGTTGCGAGAGAAGATATTCGGAGTGCGCAACTTACATGATCTTCACCTCATTGGGGTCGAACTTGGGAGCTGCCCAATGGGTTTGATGTCAGTTCAGTCCGCCATTTTGACACCAAGGAGATGATACTTACGCATGGCGAGTGCGAAAGGTGGTCGATCGTCCTTGGGAGTTGTCGGGGTGGATGGTACAAGGAAAGAAGGGGAGCTGTTATCTGAAATTGAAGGATATTTAGCTGCCGCCCGCACCTCCACTAAGCGAGGCTCCCAAAACGGCTTGGCGCAATAGGGCTCAGCCCGGTAACATCACGTGAGCGTGACAAAGAGCCGCGGGTGCTTTGCATGACAGGTGAGAAAATGATCTATAGTGCTGAGTGACCATCTTACTGGGGTTTTGTTTGTGTTCAATGCATCTAATTTAGGCAGCTGATATATTCCAGGGTAACAGACAAAAATAGGAAAAACCGCTAAAGATACAAACGACCCGACGACCAACGTAAACCGCCCCTTGCTCTTGTTATGGCCATTCCTTGTCAAATCTAGCTGGTTCCAGAAACAGCAAGCCTGGTGGTTTAGGTTAGAGCTGATTGACTGCGAATCCGACATATGTGGCGAACTTACTTCATCAGATGATCCATGAAAGTCTGCAACGAGACATCGTCGGTGAAAATCGTTTGCGACGTGACACCTCCGCCATATCCTCCTGTCGTGTGCGTCGTGGAAGGGTTCAGCTTGGACAGCAGGAAACGCGCCTGAGAACCGCCAGCATCGCAGACGATGAAACGGGGCAAGGGGAAACGGTCCGAGATCAGCTCCTGTGATTTGAACCAGTTAGCAGAAAAGCGGAGAATGTGTAACGATGGGTGTCCACGAACCCTTGCATCTTCCTTTGGCTGTTCGAGGAGCGCCTTTAAGTTTTCGTAACCCTCCTGTTCCTGGTAGCCAGCCTTTCTCCATTCTGCGATAGTCTCTCCGTGGAAGATTAGGATATGGAAGAAAGTATCCAGCAGCAAGATGTGGGAAGGCTGGATGGAAGCAGAGTCCAAAAGAACCGGTTGGCTTCCTTCGTGCTCGAGAGAATACGAATCGAGCGTGGGCTGAATCATGACAAGAGAATCGCCGACATCCTCGTGATTGAGGACGTGTCTATAGAAGGCAGTCTCATCAGGCGAGTTGTTGAACACCTGCAAGAACTGGCTTCGGCGCAAATGGAACATAAACTGAGGATAGAGAGTGAAGTTCTTCTCCAATCGGAACGAGGTAGGGTCATCCTTCCGGTAGTCGGCAAAGCGAGAGCAGAGCCGGATAAGCATGCGGTCAACCCATCTGAGCACATCCGGTCCGTCATCAACCTCAGCCTTGAATACCGCAATTCGAGCCATCAACACGGCAGCGGCTTCCTGATCGAAAGACTGTGCGAGTGTGGGGTCACCAGCCGGACCACTGAGATTCCGTGCGACGGTTGTAACTCGAAGGTGATAGTGCCCAGACGAATGCTGGTAGTATGTCAGGAATTGCATCATTCCTCTTTGAGGGCCTTGCTGGACTGCTGCCGGACCGCCTTGGTTCGCGATTTCGAAGTAGACGCCGTAACTCGAGGAGGGATCGATTCCACACATCTTCCAGGCGCAAGTGTTACCGATTCCGCACTCCGTCTCACCAACCGAGCTCGACTTCTTGTTCAAAGAGACCGCGTGTCCAATAAGTCCGGTAACCTTCAGTTCCTTGGTGGTGAGCACCTCCAGGGATGCATTGAAGCCCATGAGCAAGTTATCGTTGGCGTCCTTGTCAAAGATTCTGACGAATGATTGCTTGAATTGCGAGGATGTGAAGCTATCCGTGAGAAGCATATGGCCACCGGTGTAGTTGGCGAGATTCTTCATCTCCAGCATACCGACTTGGTCAAGACACCCGGCAAAGAGGTCAACAATGTGTCCATTGTTAGCGGCACGCTTGGCCATGCTGTCGTAAAACTATGTGCATCCGTTAGTATAGTATGAGAGCACTTCATGACCACATTGGGACCTACCTTGACAGCCTTCTTGTAGTACTTGATGTTGTCTCTATCAATATCGTGGTGAGAGCGGATAGGCTCCTTCAGCTCAGGGCCGACGACATGACCCGGGCCTTCAGTGGCCGGACCGCTGGTGAAGATCATGATGCGTCCACCCGCGTTCTGGAAAGAGGTCTCGAGCAAGCCAACGGCAACGCTAAGAGCAACACCAGTACATCTGAGAGGACGCTTATCGTTCGCAACAGGCCAGGGATCGCGCTGCAGCTGCTCGAGCACATTCGTGATCTGGAATTCCGCCTGCTGAACGGGAAGAAGGAATCGTGCCGCGGGTCCCAGAGGAGGGCGGGCGGGCTGCTGGGGCATGTTCGGCCGCACGCCAGATGCAAGACCAAGCATCTCCTGGACCTGCTTTGCAGCATACTCTTTGCTGCCGCGGAAGACATAAGACTTGGCACATTCGGTGTAGCCAAGCTCATGTACTTGAGCCTGTATCTCAAATTAACATTCCATTCTACCGTGACCGAGTCAAGAGTGGTCCCTACCATTGTACCGAATGTGATCAGACCAACCAAGGCGTTGGCTGGCAGCAGCGACAGACTCATGATCAATGAGTCCTTGACGGCCTTCAGGCTGTCTTCATCCTGGCAGGTATCGACAACGTAGACGAAGATGGGAGGAGCGGGAGCAGGGCGTGCCAGTTGATACTCAATCGTCGTACTCATGGGATGGAGTTCCGGGGGTATTGTGCTCTCGGTGATATCCTTGTAGTGAGGGGGCAGAGGGTTGCGCATGAGACAGAAAGGGCAGATCCAGATGCGGGCGCGAACGTCAACATTGCTAGATGATGTCAGTTGGAGCTTTACTTCATTCCGAAGTCAACCGTATAGCATACGCATAAGGATTCAAAACGGCCCGGCAGGGCGCTTTGCAGGTCACTGGCTCATATTGTAGCAGTGGAGAGTCCGGCTTCTCCTTAAGGGGTGTGTAGACGGCACCGATGGGGACAACAAGTCGGGATGCTTCCTATGATGGACTGACTCAGTGACTGACGTGTGTAAATCATCGATACCAGAACACTAACCATGCGAGAGCTTGGAAATGTGTTCCAGCTCAGTCTGATGCCGTCGCGATCCTCAACGTCGCTCCATTGGTCCTTCAACGCTTCGTAGTCCATGTTGGCGGCGTGGTTAAACGGGGCTCCGTTAATGGGAAGAGTGAGGGGGAATCTCCTTGAACAATAAAGACTCCAGAAGACGAAATTTGGAGCACCACAGGCTGAATAGAAAAGAAGAAGCACCTATAGCAAACACCCAGTCTCGAAGCGCGCAACGCCAACAGCTGCTGTCCTGAATGACTATGCGGGGGATCAGGAGACTGTTGTGTGAAGCGGCGGTGCTGGCATAAGGCCAGGTTGCAGCACAACCGTTCCCTACGGCCCGCCGTACCCCCACGCTAGTGGCCTTTAAATAGCGGCTCTTCTCTCTCTTCTTTCCTATTTTTTTCTTTTCTTCTTATGAATTTCTTTCTTTTTTCACGCCGACATCATCTTTCTCAGCTTCTAGCCACCTCAATGGTGAAGTTGTTTACGCGTCGAGCGAAGAGTAAATCTGACCCGTTGCTGGGCACCTGGCTTTGAAAGGACGTTTTGTTCCTTTTGGATAATTTGGGAATCAGCTGTGGTCAAATCCCTATTTTAGTATAATTTAGTTTTCAAAATTGAATGTGTGCACTACAATATTGACTTCTGCCCGTAATATCTACATTAAAAGGTACTGAAAAACCCGTGTCCCGTATCCCAACGCAATGAACCAAATTCGACGCCTTGTGCACTGAAATTTCGCAAAAAAAAAAGGACAAACGCAATAAAAACATATCGTCGTGGACTTCCATGCAAGCTATTTAAGAACTCTTGGACGCCCGGGCTGTCTGCTTCAACAAGAAACTGCGCTTGAAGTAAGTGTTAGGGTGAACGATGGTGTCCAAATCCACCTGGTTCCATGAACCATCTTCCTTGACTCTTTTGATCTCGGTCTTGTGAGTCGATTCGAAGACTCTGTTGCAAGCGATGTGATACCGCATTTTCTCGACATCTTCTCGCACTCCACGGAGAACTTCCTTGTCATTAACACCTGTGGTCTGAAGCAATCCAATAAGGTTGTCGACCGAGTAGTGGCGATAAGGGCATCCATGAGTTTGTCCAACTCCAGGGTTTGAATCGCCCAAAATCTTCTGGCATGAATAAGGAGGATATCCTCGACCCCGGCGGTTGACATCGCCTCCTACATCACCATAAGCGTGGCGGATGTTGTACTTGTATCGAGAATTGAACTCGTCATCCGTGAAACCCTTGAACGACTGGCGCCAGAAGATGATGCATTCTTCGAGTGACAAACCAATACCCTTGAGGAACAGAGTGTATTGGAGACGGCCATAATGCTTGAGATGGTTGTTTTTCCGTAGGTTCATGTGGAGACTGCGCATACATAGGGGGAAATGTTGAGATAGCTGGTCGATGTTGTTGGCTGTGATTGCAGCACCGTCGACAAACCCTTCACCTTCTGAATAAACTGACTCGGCGCTTCCGAAGTTCTTGGACAAATGGTTCAAGATTGGAGTGAGACGATCATCTTCATCCAACCGCGGCAGTGCCCGACTCGTGAGCTGGAGAATGTTAGTGATAGACAAGATCCTGACAGGGAGGGTCATGTCCGTACCTCAAGCGCGCGTTCCAATCGGGCAGTGAACTCTGCAATGATCATGCTCAACTGCTCTCTCCCAGGTACATAGGCCTTGCCTTTATACAAGAACACAGATCTTCTCTCGACGAGCTCGGGTACTCGCTCCCAGTCCACTTTGTACCATGCCTCTTCATCTACCCGACGTAAACCTGGGGTGGCATTAAGTAAATGTTCTGCCAATCTTTGTCTTTCATCATCCTCCACAGGCTCCCAGTCAAGGTTGAGACTTTCGATGAAAGCGCGCTTCTCTCTCGTATCATCACGCTGGAAGCGGAATCTGAAGAGCATCGTTTCTGCTCTCACGAAACGCCGGCGAAGGTCTTCCGTGGCGGAGAAGGCCAGCCGAAGGATGAAGTGTGAATAATGGTCCTTTTGGCGCTCATTTTTAAGTCGCTGATCGGCCGCACCGTTGGAGGAGGATGTGTTGGATGATAAAGGGAGGTATTTTTGGAGGAGAGGTGTAAGATGCGTCTCTGTCTCCGCCGCGGACTTGTTTCGATAAGAGCAGGCCTCAATTTCAGCCAATACTGTTGAAAATATGAGTAACAGGAATGGCGTTGGGACTCTCTGGATATACCTCTTAATCTGTCAATGGCCCATTGCTCAAATTGCTCGAGTGTGATCTCCTCCGTTGGTGGGACATCGTAGAAATTCAGACGATGCGGATAGTCTTGCTGCTTGAATGTGGGTGCAGCGAACTGCTTCTTCTTATGGTCGAGGTTGGCCCGTCTCTTAGGGTCAATTCTGAGAAAGTCGCTTCGAATCATGATGAAAGTGTAACAGCGATTCAGACACCCAAACAAAAGTATTGCAATCTCCTCAGCGACTGCAGACAAATTCGACGTTGTATGATCTGGCCAACCCTGGGCCCTCGCGAAGGACGCGGGAACGCGCCGAAAACGCGACACGGTCACGTGAAGATAAATGGCGGCTCGCTCAGACCAACACTGCCTCGCGGAAAACAGCATGGCAGAGACTCCCAATCACATGCATGTATGAGAAACAGATGGGAGGGATCTCCGTCCTTGAGAAAGTTCCGAACATGTGACAATCTATTTGATCGAATTCAATTCCAACATGAAGATCCGGAGAATGACACTACAATCAACGCGCACAGACGGACAACATTTGCGATACCCCATGCCATGGCTGAAGCCCTGTCAGACGCAAGTGCTGGTGCAGTACATACTGGATTGAAGATCGAGTTTCTTGCGCCGTCTTGATTCCCAAATAAAGCGGCTATCGCCTGCTGCACCTTGTATCCTGGCAGCTGCCATATCGTCTAGCAGATGGCATCGTCGCGGTTTCGGTCCTGTGTGCGCACGAGTATAGGCTTGACAAGCTCTAGCCTGGCCTCACATGAATCTCCAATAGGGTCGAATCCTCATTCGACGCCACGAATCTCTCGCAATGCCTGTGCGGCAGAAGTCTTGCTTAGCATAGTCGCCGGCATCACCAGCAAATTCGGCGGTTTGATGACCACAAAGGCGTAATCCCAAGTTTTGTCTGCTTGATTTTTGATCAGCCATGTAAGCTTGTGAGCTCTTCTAGAAGAGTGGCATTGGCCTGCGGGAGAAGACCTATCAATTTGCAGTAGTATATCATAGAACTGGAATTTCATATACACCTATTATTGAGGTAGTGCTACCATCATCCGTCCACTGCACTATATTTCCAAGCCACAAAAGGGAAGCAGAAAGCCCCGGATCGAACTCCGCTCACCGACTTCCTAAAGAGGGAATCATCTACAAATCAACCCCACGATTTCGCGAGTGTTGCCGACTCGAGTCCAGAATTGAATGTCATTGCATCAGCTGAGCACCAGCCATCCTTGATAAGGGCGTAGGCGCAGGACCAACCGACATCTATCATCGCTTCCTTCCATCCAAATATCTCCCTTCCAACTACAACTTATGTATCAATAATCACCATCATGGACATCATATAGCGTACCGCCTTCCCGTTATCTGTCCCTGTCTTGAACGAGTTAGACGGCTCAACAATTCTCAACAAGCCGACGTGCCTCTCAAAGCCCTTGGGTTAGCCTTGCATTGCGGGCGCGATAATACCTACCTAGAGCATTAGACCTCCCCCTCTCCTGAACAGCAAAAACAAACACACAACAATGACACGCGCTATCCGACCGCTCAGAAAAGCTGCGCGAATCATCCTCATAGGTGCACCTGGAGTCGGAAAAGGAACACAAACAGAGCGACTCCTCACGAGATTCCCCGACCTAGCCTCCATAAGCTCCGGCGACCTCCTCCGGGAAAATGTGCGGAGGAAAACACCCCTGGGTATGTTGAGTCCCATCGGGAACAATTGCTTGAAATCGTTGCGACAAATGGCTAACGCTCTTTTTCTGGTGCGATAGGTCTCAAAGCCGAGGCCGCAATGCAGTCCGGTAACCTTGTGCCCGATTCGATGATCCTCGAGCTTATATCGTCGGAACTCGAGTCCAAAGGCTGGCTTCCTCCACCCACACCCACATCAACGACAGCAGCAGCAGCAGCCACACCCAACTCTCCGTCGGTCTCTGCCAATGCTTCCTTCATCCTCGACGGATTTCCTCGCACCGCGACGCAGGCGTCAAGCCTCGACAACCTCGTGCCCGTGAACTTCGTCGTCCACCTCGTCACACCTCCATCAGTCATTCTCTCCCGCATAGGGTCGCGCTGGGTCCACGAACCGTCCGGAAGAGTCTACAATGCCGATTTCAACGCGCCCAAGGTGCCCGGCAAGGATGATGTTACCGGCGAGCCGTTGACCCAGAGACAGGACGACTCGATCGATACGTGGAAGCAGCGGCTGCACAAGTTCGAGGAAACGAGCAAGGCCCTGCTCGAGCACTACCAGCGCAAGGGCTGTCTCTGGCGCGTTGAGGGCGACTCGAGCGATGAAATCAGTCCCAAGCTTTTCGCCGAGATCGAGCGACACTTCTGCTAAGTGATTTTAGTGTGCTCTCCCTGGATGCCGATATCGGACATCTTTTTCTGTATCATACATATCCATTTCTCTTTATTCGGGGTTCCCTTTTCAGCTTTTTGCATTACTGCGGTCCTTGATGGATTGCACGCATGAGCATGCCTTTCTATATGTTTTACCCTCTCTGCAGCTAGATAATGTCTTGTTCAAGACAGCTGGCATCACTTGTGTGGCCAAGATGACTGATGTGTCAGGTCTTAACGGAGGTTACGATATGCCAATGCCCACCAAAACCAGGGCGTCCTCTTGGAATGTCTTCGTCAACGGACACGAATATTCATGGATGAACTCAATGTGCAAGCTTAAGATATCGCCGGGATATATGAAAATGGGCCGTATCGTCATAAGCGCGTAGACGTTGTAATCTGCACCGAAACAAGGGAATAGGGGCACGCGGTAATTTACCCCCCTTTCCTGGAAAATTTTTTTTTCTAAATCTTCTTCGTCTCCTCCTTCAACTGTATTGGGTTCTCCAGCCCCATCCGTGTCTTATAGTCCCGGGGACTCTCCCACGCGTTGTTGCGGCGGAACCCCTTCCACATCCCCAACCCGCGCAGCTTGGCCCACCACTCCGCCTGGCGGTACTTGTGCTCGGTCGCGGCGCCGCCGAATTCCGCTCCGGACTTGGCCTCGTAGACGGTCGCGAGCCCCTTCCGCAGCATCTCGTACGAGACATCGCGCCGCCGGAAGGGGACGGGGAAGTCGAGCGCCCGCCGCACCACCACCGTCGCGACCACGCGCTGGTACTGATCTTGGCGGTGGACGTACGCGCGCACCCGCCGATTGCTCAGATACGCCGTGAGCCACTCGTGGGCTTCCTTGCTGAAGGGCTGCGCGGGCCGACCGAAGTGCGCGAGTTCGGGGGCGTCGATGCCTGCCAGACGGACGTGAATCTTTTCGTGGACAACAACGACGAGAGTTAGTTCTGTGGGCCAAAAACAAGCAAGCAAGCCACCCAGACGAGGATTTGGTGGAATATAGAAGAGCCTCTCTCCGCCCCCAATTGTTCCCCCTTCTCGCGAAAGTAAGAATTCACCGCAACAAGGTAGCATACCGTCTTATCCCTCAACTCCTTCTTCGACGTCGGAACCTTCTTCCACGGCAACCACCCCCACCCGGCCAACCGGCCCCCGGGCGTGTGATACAGCCGGAAGTTATCCCCGTCGCCGACGCTCGTCACCCTCCCCAAGATACTCCTGCGCCGCATGTACGAGGGCAAGATGCTGCCGGCGTCCGGGAACCAGCGCAGGTAGCGCCTGTGGAGGGCCACGGCGCCGAGGATGCCGGTGGTGAGGATCCCCGTGGCGATCAGGGTTCGGGGCTCGGCGAAGGCGCGCCAGTCGATGATGTTGGCGTAGGAGTGCCGGTCATTGTTGTTGTTCTCGGTGGTGGTGGGAGATTTGGGACCCCATGGCGGCCATCTCATCACGGCTCATAGTCTTCCCCCGCTTGGTGTGAGGCTTTCGCTGGGTGTGGTGGGTTTTTTTTTCGTTCTGGGAATGAAGGGGGAGACGAGGGCGGAGTTGGCTCGGTTTAGGGGTTGGTGCTGGTCGCTGAGTGTTGATTAGTTGATTAGCGGTGAGGCGGTTTAGTCCATGTGTTTTGGTTTCGGCAGTTGGGTAGTTGCCGAGGTGAACTGCGGCCCTACGGATGGATATATGTCTAGACTATAGCTATCCGCTCTCTTGGGTTGAAGCGGTTCTCTCAAAATTGTCGAGTGTTTACTGATATTCCGGTCTCGTTGGTTCTGGGTTCACTATGGTGTCTACCAAAATATATGATCCAATCTTTGTATATTGTCATGGTTCTATGGAGATTCCAGCGTATGTATACATTATGATCAATGTTGCACAATGCTAGCTATCCGGTAATAGTGGGCGTGCTCGGTATACCAATTATCAAAGCATGAATGAAATCAAGGTTAAATTTGTCAGATCGGGGGTGAATAGAATGTGAAGTCTAGGGGTCATGTCTGCTATAGGAAGAAAATAGTAAGGAGTATATATGTGTATCTGACGCGTTAAGATGAAGTGATAGAGATCATTTCAAGGTAACTGGCAGACTGGTCTTGGCTGTCGATGCTGCGGAATCCACCACCTTCTTGAGCTTCTGCGCCCGGATTCTGCGTAGATAGGCGAACAGAAGAACGAAGATGAGTTCAACACTGTAAATGATCAGCTTGTGCTAATGAGCATACTCCGAGACAAGCTTACCGTTCTTTCGTCATCATCAACAGACCCTGCACGAGGAGACCCTTAGTGATCTGAGGTCCAATGCCCTTGAATAGAGATAGCGCTCCCTCATTTTTGATAATGTAGCGCATGACCTCGCTGAAGGTCTTGAAGGGTTTGCCTTCACGGCTGGGGGGCGGTCGCGACTGAAGGCCGACCTTGGCTACGATCAATGGCTGCGTCGCAATCGTGGCCAGAGTCTTAGAAAGGGCACCAAGAACTGTGATGGAGAGAGACAATCAGCATGAGTGAACATCAAAACGGAAGGTACGTGAGCTGCTCACGGAATGCCTCCCAAGGCTTTAAGTTGGTCTTTCCCGGAAATAGGACATCCTTCAACCGCTGATATGCCCCGTAGGTTATAGCGGGATTGACGACGAGGATCAGACTAGCCTTGAGTCCTCGCCACAAACCAGTCCAGCCGTCCTCGCTGTTCACGATCTCTCTGCCTGTCTCGACCAGACCTTTGCGCTCGCTCTTGTCTTGCGTCTGTTGTCTCGTAGTGATGACAGATACCGGAATAGTGAAGATCTGGGCGACAGCGCCAGCGACAGCGCCAAGCGAGAGCTCAATTGCAGTACCCGGGGGCTTAGGTACCTTGTTGGATGCCATGTAGAGTGATCGTACAATGGTGTACCAGTAGAAATAGGCAAAGTTGGTGGACGCAACGCCGATCAAAGCCCCCGTGATGCCGGAATATAGCCCTTCGATACCTTCCTTCTCCACGATCTTGTTGATGGCATCCAGAGTCGATTTGTAGTGTACCGTCTCATCGGAACCTTCTTTCTTCGTCTCGTCCGCTTGCTTCACTTGTACTTGAAGTTTGGTTTTCACACTGGGGGTAGAGTAACGTAGCTAGTTAGCTCAAATTCACCGCATTACGTAGTATGCTAGCGATATACAAAGGGTCAATTGCTCACAGATCGAGAGGGTAGACCATTGCGTTTGCAAGCACGGCACCCGTTGCACCTGCAACAGCGCTGCCCCACGGCGAGAGCGCGGGTTTCGATTGACCGGCCATTTTGTGTAGAGGAAAGTGAGGCGATGTGCTCTCAGTTTATGATATGAGAGGGGATTTGAGATGAGTACAATATCAATTATTGTGAGTATCGTCCAGCGCGAGACCGATATCGCCTATTTTTAAGTAAGAGTCGAATGCTAATTTCCCTCACTTGGAGGTTTAGCGGTGCGGAATAACTGGGGCCTTGATCGTGAGCGGGGGGGGGGAAGACGGGAGAGTCAACGTAGCGTGTCAGAACCACGTTGGAAACTGTTAAAAGTTACAGTGGACAATGAGGATCAGAGATCAGACTAATTCGGGGGGAAGAGATAAGAATAAGTGAAGACCCTTAAAGCGCTTGGGAGGAAGAGAAAATGAGACATGACAAAAGAAATCCAGAAATCCAGAAAACTAGATGTGATCTGCTGCAAAGAACCAGCCGGGGGTTTCCCATCGCACCTCGGCGTGGTTGATCGTCGGTGCTCGCATGACGAAACGAGCCGAGGTCCGTTACTCTTATCGGTCTGGGACGTTAACTCTCCATTCCCGTCCTTCTTCTCCGGTCCACACAGGAGTCAACATTAAGGTTCTTTCACCTGACCAGCTACCTAGGTAGATCTGTATGTCGTACTGTAGGGATAGTGAATATATCTTGTTATAGACTGGTCATCGTTTATCTAGCCCCTAGACAAGAATTCTGTACAGCATGCATCCTTTCAACCTGTCTGACTGGAGACCGGCTTTATCATTACCTAATTAGGCGGCTCTAGACGGAAGTCCCATAGTTTCTACTTGTCATTGAGCCGGTCAACAAAAAGAGAGCTTGGGCTTGAAGCCTGGGGTTCACAGTTGTACATCACTGCACATCACGACTTTCTGTCCAAGAAAACAAGAAAGCTTTCTACTACAATCCACGCGCAGTATGTGTATGTGAATATCTTATACTCCAAGACAGGGCGGTATAGCACGGCAGAATAGCAGCGAGGGAAGATGAGCAGCTGCCTGAGAAGGCAGGAAGCGGGTCCCGCACTGAGCGTGATACCGTAGTCTACCATTCATCTTCGTTAGGCTATCTGAACCGACTCAACTGCAAATACCCTTTCTTATCAATCTAATCACTATTTGCCCTATTGCACCTTGCTCGGAATGCCCCGCGGCGCGTTCACTGCTCAGCTTCTCATCGCTGCTGGATGACAGTCGTTGCTGTGTTATTAGACCTTCTAGAATCTGGCTCTCTCACACACCAGCATGTCTCGAGCTGCTGCTGTTTCACAGAACTTGCAAATCAGCCAAGCCTTGGTATGGAATCTTGGGCCCTATTCTCATCTGCAGTTGAAATTAAAAGCATCTTGGATTGACGATGTTACAGAAAGCCGAGGAAGATGTACTTGCCGCTACATCTCAAGCCGAGGCTCTTGAAGCAGCTATCACCGCTGCCGAGCACTACATGAAAGCCTTAAGCTTGTCGTCAACCTCAAAGGACAAAAAGGCTCTAGACGCTAAGTGCAAAGATTGGCTTCTCCGGGCCGAGAGAATCAAGGCAGCCAAAGATTGGCGCCTTGCGATTCTCGACCATGGCAGCAATGATCCAGTGACTCGATACCCTAGATCGGTGCGCAAACTCACAACCCGGGAGGAAATCATTCTTCTCGAGAGTGCAAAATTGAATCATGCGATCTTTCCGCCATGGTCAAGTGCTCCAGGATCTGATGAGTTTGAACGACAACTTGGGGAGGGCCTCTTTACGTATGTGGACTACTTATGCACTTCAAGACATGAATCCTCCTGACCTGAACCAGAGACTCACCCGAACTCCATCTCTCAAAACAGCAGAGGGATGTTTTTGCGGGCTGGAAACGACCAAAGGAGCTCCTATTGCAAAAACACGCAGGAGAAACAGACATTTCCACTGTCCCGGCAATGGCTGTAACAGAGAAGACTGATTTGGTGCAGGACATGGTAACGGATTGCTCTGTCGTTGCTAGTCTGTGCGCTATTACATCTAGGTACGAGCGTGGATTAGATAAGGTAAGCCAACTCACTGCAATCGCGACATATTTGAGCGGATCTGACAGTTCCAGCTCCATTACCCGGTGGCATATCCCTGCGATTTTCGCTACACCGATCCCAGACTTTCACCTTCGGGGAAATACATCTTCTGTTTTTATTTCAATGGGTGTTTTCGCAAGGTGATCATTGATGATCGCCTACCATCGTCGAAAAAGTCACGGTCACTTCACGTGGTCGACCGAAGCAATCCTTGCTATATATGGCCTGCCTTGGTGGAGAAAGCGTACCTGAAGCTTCGCGGGGGATATGATTTTCCTGGAAGTAACTCTGGAACAGACCTGTGGGTGCTGACAGGATGGATCCCCGAGCAAGTCTTCCTTCACCATGAAGACGTCACTGGCGAACAAATCTGGAGGCGGCTTTATAAAGCATTTCAAGCCGGTGATGTTCTTCTGACAATAGGTACCGGAAGATTGACAGAAAGGGAGCAGGAGGAGCTTGGCTTAGTGAGCGAGCATGACTATGCTATTCTGGATATGAAGGAGACCGGAAGCCGCCGTCAAATGCTCGTGAAGAACCCATGGGCTGGCGACTATGACCATGACAGCAACTTCGAACTCAGCTCTGGCTACGGAGATACGTCTCAAGTCTCACCTGGAACCTTTTGGATGGACTGCGAGGACGTTCTTCAGAATTTTGAAAATCTATATCTGAATTGGAATCCCTCCCTGTTTAGATGCCGACAAGATCTTCATTTTACATGGGACCTCACAACTGACAGAGGACTGGCTGGTTGTTTCGCCAAGAACCCTCAGTTTTCTGTGTCCAGCAATGCTGGCGGTACCGTCTGGTTACTGCTTGGAAAGCATTTTCGGACAGTCGACCATCACGACGAATCTGAGCCATCTGCCCATTGCGACGAGCCCGGATTCATCAGCCTCTATGTGTTTGATGCAAGTGGTCAGCGAGTCTCTTTGAGTGATGGGGCACTTCATCGCGGCCCCTATGTTGATTCGCCGAACACCCTAATGAGATTAGACATGCCTTCATATACGACCTACACCCTGGTAGTATCCGAACAATCCTTACCATCCGCGAAGCAACATTTCACACTATCTGCACTGTCCTCTACCCCAGTGGGCATTGCGCATGCACAGAATAAATACAAATTCACAACAAAAGTCCATAGCTCCTGGACGCCTTCGACTGCAGGAGGAAACGCCGAGTCAGCCCGATATCCATTCAACCCTCAATTTACCTTTAGAATCGGCAGTGCAACCGATATTTCGCTCCTGCTTGAGCCAGAGGAGCCTGAATTAGCAACGCATGTTAAGCTGTTCTGGTCTAACGGTCAGCGTATATCCCGAGTTCGAAGCCGCGACATTGCTGCCGACAGTGGTGACTACCGTCGCGGTGGCTCGCTTGCAGAAAAACAGGGGCTTAGTGAAGGTGTCTACACAATCGTCTGTTCGACTTTCGCGCCTGATCAATTGGGAAGCTTCAACCTCTGGGTTTCTTCTTCCGGTCCATGTGAAGTGAAGCCGCTGGCGCCAGAGGCAGCTGGGCGACGCGCAGTAATCTCAGACATTGGAGTCTTGTCCCCTGGGAAAGACCGGATGCTGGCGCCGCTGGAGACCCCGCGGCTGACGCGCCTTAAGATAATTGGAAGAAGCAGGCAATCCACGATTGCGAACCGATCCGTTGGGCCTTCGCCTATGCTGATGACCGTGGAACTCGGTCAAGGACCTTACAAAGAGATACTGGCAACATCTGAAGACGGAAACCACAGTGATGCCATTTCGGGTGTGCGCATTGAGGACTTCAATCTGCACCCCAGGCTTGAGGACCGTGGCGGAGCCTGGATTGTCATCGAGCGAATTGGAGGACCTGGAGGACAGGTCGAAGACCAGTTCGAGGTGGAAATTCTAGGCGAAGAGAAGGTGTACGTTGGAGAATGGATAGTTGAGGATGCATGATTAGTCTAGCGGTGTCATGTCGGCTCGAAAGCATAGCGCAGAACATTATACTGTACCTCAAGAGCATTCCGCATGCTAATTCTTCGTCAGGGAAGAATTTTCAAAGCCAACCTGAGACTTAAATGAGTGATAATTGAATCTCAAGGAGAAACTAACATCAAAGTGGGTGATATATGATTCTGCTTGTACAGAGATATGTAGAATGAGTAAAGTCGCCAAGCAGCGAAGCAGGAGCCTGCAGCTGTGCCGAGGAGGTTAGTCTACGGTTGGTTAGTCTAACGTTCGGTGCAGTTCCCGCTCCGGAACGTCATCCCCGCCTGCATCGCGTTATCTTTCACCCCTCCAAACAACAAACAACGCCAGTGCCCAAAATCAACTTTCCCACACCGACCTCATGGCCAGCAATATCCCCGCTAGCTTGAAATCCGCGGATATCGGGCGATTTGCCCTCAGGGCAGCTCAGCTTGAACGCGCAAAGCCCGTCGTGGCCTACTGGTGTAAGTGTCATTTGTGCGCCTAAAGTCCGTGCTGCCTGAATGTGATCTGAGTCTAATTAAGGGTCCCTTTTCCACTTTTTTTAGGCAACTTCTGGATTGTGAATCAAATTATTGAGAGAGGGCTGCACACTTCTGATGATGAGGTCAAGCTGTATACGACGGAGCTGGTGGACAAACTGGAGGAGGTGAGTCAGGCGCAATGCTGGTCTACTACCCCTTGTGTGCAGTATCTGGGCGCTGACATTGCTATCACTCTCTCATTAAAGTTCAAGAACGAAAACCCCGACAATGACGCTGTGACGGATGCTGTCGCAGCCAATGCATATGTAGAGCAATTTGCTTTGGAGGTCCTTGGGCGTGCGGAGGCGACGATGAAGGCCAACAAAGTGACGAAGTCCGTTCCGCCCTACGCAACGAGCTCAGATAGGATGACAGCTAACTGTAGCCTAAGACAAACAGCAGATACATTCCAGGCGGCTGCCACCTTCCTAGAATTATGCCAAATCTGGAACCCTCCGGATGCCGAAATCGCTGCGAAGATCAAGTTCGCCAAGTACCACGCTGTCAGAATCATCAAAGCAATCAAAGCTGGAGAAGATCCGAATGCGTCGAATCCCGTCGCCGCTGAGGAGGAGGAAGATGCTGTGGCTGATCTAGAGCCTAGACCAGATGATCCGGAAGTGCAGGCCATTGTCGGATCCCTGCCCGTCCAGCCGAGGCAGCCGTCCGTAGAGGACGTCCAGGAGGACTCCGAAGAAGCGTCGCAAGCACCGCTTGTTCTACCAGACACACCAAACACGACGAGATACCGTGCCCCTGCTTACCAGCGGACTGGGTCACCTTCCGAAGCCAAAGCGGAGGACGATACGGAACAAGGACTGGAGCTACCATCTGCACCGGAGAAATTTGCATCTTCATCGGACCCCGTACCTGATCTCCCGGACACCCCTGGGAAAATAGACGGGAATCGTGCTCCTGCGCCTTCCGACTCATTCCATTCCTTTCCCCCGCCATCCAACATGGGGCCCGCCACTCCAGCCGCGCCCTCTCATGATGCCAGCTATTTTTACAGCAAGCCATCACCTAATACCGCAGTGCCTCCACCCTTCGTGCAGTCGACGTCAGGCACCGTCCCTGTAGTCAGCCGCCCAGCGCACCAGAACTTCCCGAGCCCCACGCCTCCTGCACCAGCACCTGTTGCTTCGCATTCTGGTCCGACGAATGCGCAGCCAGTTGATGATCAAGCTATTGCGCTTGCGCAGAAGCACGCTCGCTGGGCGGTATCGGCCTTGACATTCGATGATGTCAATACGGCTATCAAAGAACTCAGGAACTCACTGCGCTACTTGGGAGCGGAATGAGGAGACCGTCCATGTATACCTAGCTCAGCAAACGTTGTTTGTCTTTAGAGATACCTCTTGCCCAATTCTGTTGTTGATGAGTGCCAGCACTTGTTTGATGGCGTGACCTTTCCATCTTTGAATGAATTAATGACTTCTAATTTCTTCTCTCCTGTTTGGCCACCCTTGCAGACTCCACTTCCCTAAAGGCATAGTCATACCTTTCTTTCTCAGTGATTCATCCGCTGGCGGTTGAGCAAGGAAGAACCAACATGATGATTTCAAGACAAAGACTGATCCGCAAAACATAAGCTTTGTCACAAGTGCAGACACTATGTTTTCCAGATAATCGCCGTGGCGATGAGGAGAAACACTGGCTTCTGATCGTCCTTCACTGCAATCATCGCCAGGCTCCTTTCTCGGGGTTTCCCACATGCTCACACAAGAAACACAGAACACCTACTCCCCAGTTACCCTCCTACCTTCAACGCACCTGCTATCCGACCTTTTTTTCAGAAGGCTAGAAGTTAAAGATCCGTCAACACCAGAGAATCTTTCATTTATGCTTTACTAGTGTATCGTGTCTAAGCTGAGGAACATCATGACACGAAAGTCAATCACGTCCAGCACATCTTCGGACGTACCCTATCATGTTATGAAAGCCGAACTCGACGAAGGCGGGCTGAAGCCTGGCAACAATGATCGGGACTTTACCGTGTTCCTCGATCTGAAGTCAGAGCATTCACGCAAGTTTCTGGACAGCCTTCGAGAACACGTCCAATTTCGCGGCTTCGAATGGGGAGAGTTACTGAGTTCAGAGGCTCTCCGACGAACATGCGCTGAAATTTTCGTTGAAAACGTTGGAAAGACTTATTGGGGCACTGAAGAGAACCGTCGAAAGTATTTGATGAAAGAAGCAATCAAGGATCCGAACAGTCTCTGCGTATATCCCGACAGAAGGGAGGAGTAAGTTGCGGCCCTTCCTCGTGTTATTCACTATCACCCAGTCCCACATTCATGGCCACCTGATCAAGTTGACACTTGCAGGATCATCCGAACCATCATGATCCTCCTCGAACGCAAGGCGAAAAGTGCTCTAAGATTTCGCACTGACAAGGATCCCTCGAAAGTGAGTTTCCCCTTCTCCTCTTATGAATCTACTCTTAGAGTTCCTTTGGCACCCTGGATATATACTCATCTCAAACGCATCACTAGGACAACACTGCAACCACTGCCCTCGAAACCAGCACGAACATGGCATCAAAACTGACATGGTCTACCAAGCGTGTGACGACGCCAGTGCCGCATGTCGCCGTGCAAGTTGAACGCAAGCCCAAGCGCAAGTCTAAGAATTTTTCAGACGAAGAATACAGAGAGACAGACTCCGTCGTTGATGACACGGATGACGTCCAAGAATACACACCTCACATGGCTCGTCCAGTGAGACGTTCCTCAACCACGGGAATTCGCCCTTTCAAGTCGATCATGACTTCCCAAGAATGCGATATCGAGTCTGATAGCGATGTGATGATGGTGGACTGGAAGACCAAGTGGAGTGACCCTGCGAAGACGAAGCAGGAGCGCTCCCATTCCGTCAAGACGGAGCCTATCCCCGTGGCCCCTGTCAACAACTTCGAGATCGAGAAGCCGGACTACTCTCCAATCAAGATGGAGCCACAAGCAAGCCGCAAGAAGAGAAAGTCCAAGAGCAAGAAGCAGTCGCTCATCAGACCGGAGTCGCAGGAAGTGATGATGAACCCGGACGACCCTGTTCCTGATGACACCTTCACCACCACCACGGCTACTCCAGGCGTCGAAGCCAACCCGGACGATCCCGTCTATTTTCTGGTCACCGCTACCTCCCAGCCAGGCATGGGCTCGGTCTGGGTCCCGTACCGCGACTTCCGCTCGGCGGAGGAGTTCATGCGCTACCTGCGACAGGAATGCCGTCTGGACGACTGGAGCCCGTCCCGCCAGCTGAGCCACGACGTGAGCGGCCACACCCCGACCACCACGAAGCCCGTCGTCGTGGCGGCCTCCGTGAAGTTAGACTGGACCGACTTTGAGATCCGCGTCCGCCAGAACCACGACCAGGACTGGGCGATGGTGCAGCAGGAGCTGCAGAAGGCCATGGAGGGTCGGACCCAGCTTCTGGAATCCGGATCGTTGACGTCTGCCTTCAAGATCCGCGTCCTGTTGCACGTCGTGGAGGAGGATATGCTGCTCGCGTACCCCAGAGCTCCCTGAAACCAGGGGCTTCTCAAGGTCTTTTCGATATTGCGTCTGTGCCAACAACCACGAACGGTGTGCACTGCTACATGATCTTGTTTAGCTCAGTACCGACTTGACCGCAAACCCCTCTCTCTTCCCCCCCCTGCTGCTTGATCGTGATTTCTCTTGGGAATGTTTGGTGGTGGGCGGTAGGATGTTAATTCTTTCCATTTGGAGGAATACTTGGCCTTCCCCCGGGAAGTTGGCATAAGTAATTGTGGAAAAGTTTTTCATCATCATCTCCAGATATCTTGCATGTCATTTGTCGGACATAAGAGCCAGAGGACACCGATACTATGTAACTAATTCCAGATAAAATTGGCCGAGCTACTCCGTAGACTTGCTTGGTCCTAGGGTGAACCAAACAAACAGAATTGAACTTAGTTGGGTGATTTTCGCACGAGCCTTCGTATCGCAGAAGTGATGCGCCTTACTTTACCGTATCTAGTAGTAGTCTAAATTGTCTAAGCCTCTAAGAGTCTAAGAGGGTTCCCTGGAGGGGGGGGGGAGCTTTGTCGAGCCCCTGCACAAACCATGGGATGACGATCACCCACGGTCCTTGGGACTGGGAACTGAAAAGTCAAAATGATGCGCCGCCATTCATCCCCATCCCTCCTAACGTGGGACCCCCCCACGGGAAAAAGGAAGTTTGTTTTGGGGGTTGTTTGACACCGTGGTTTATCTTGTTTTCCTTTGAAGAGAGAGTCCCGAGCAATTGCCGAAATTTTGTGACATTTGTAGACGCTAAGTAATACTCCATAGCCTTCTTCGCCGGCACTGACTACTAGTGATAGGGAAGATGAGGAGGATTGGGTGCCTCGATTCGCCCAATAGCTCGGAATTCAGTTCCAAAATATCCCAGTGTTTGTTAATCATGCTGGCCAAGCGGTCTGATCCCGTGCTACTGGGTTTCTGGGCCCAGTTCCGGCCAGTCGCAATGCCAAAATGGAGGGTGGGTTGATTAGTGAAGAATATGTAAAACGGAGTCACTACTCTATGGAGTACTAGTATGGATGAATAGGAGGAGAGGAGGGGCGGCGGGTCGAAGTGAAGCATCACCGAAGTTGATATCATTAGTGATGATTCCAAGTTGCCGCGGATAAGCGTTCAATAGTACCCCGAATTGCTTTTTCACGCCCCTTTTCGTTCTTTTGTTCTCCTTGATCCGTTGCTTGTGGCTCTGTGTGAAAGTACTGTACCTGGGCTCGTTGGAGGTTTGTTTGTCTACCTCGTCTATCCGATTGGACTAGGATTGACGTGTGTCGATAGGACTGCGAAGAAGAGGAGAGAGGAAACGGCTAGGGAAGATCTAGGCTTAGTCGCAGACGCGATCGAAGCGAATTGCCGACGCCCTATGCAGTATGCAGGCACTTCTCCGGCGTCAGACTTGCGATATCGCAAATTAATAATCCAGGAGGAATCACGAGCAATTAGTGGTTACCCACCAGCAAGCAGCCTTGACTCGCAGTATCATTTTAGGAGACGCAGATCATCGATGCTATTGTTCCCTAAGGTTGATCATCGCAGTCTCTCCCAGTTTCACAATTGACGGTTTGCGCGCCCGTCGCCGCCTTTTCTTATCCACCCTGCGTCAAGCACTTATTTTGGGGTGCCTGGTTTGATGTGTCTTTTTCTTTTCTGGGGAAAGGGCGGGCGAATTCGAGCGCGTTGTGGTGGCAAAGAGGGATTGACAATTCAACATCATCAACTTCATGTTTGCTTTGACTTCCGTTTTTCTTTTCTTTTTCGCTTCCTTTTGTTTTTCAATGGATACGTACTCGACATCCCACCCCTTCCCCTTCAGGGAATGGGGAGGCAATAAATGGGTTCAGAAACCCACTTAGAGGCGGGACTATGATCGGACGGTGTCCCTGACGAACGGACAACGTCCCACAACGCGTGCTTGGCAGGGGACGGATTGATGAATCCATTTGTCTTTCCTTGGTTTGGGGACCTCCCCGAAATGCTCGAAGGACGCTTAAAATTCGCCCACTTTCCTGTACGAGGGCAAAGGAGCGAGTGGGAAGCCCTCGCCGGGGGCGTATGGTATCCACTGCGCCGGCGAAATTTCTAGACGCAGCGCTAGCGGCGTTCATTCGGTAAAAGAAGCGGTTTGGAATGATGATGTGCTCCCCCTCTTGTTCCATGCGAATCTGCAGTCTGTTATTGGTGGTGGTGGCGGCGGCGGCGCGCTGCTGCTGCTGCTGCTGCTGCTGCTGGTTTGCAGACCTGCAGTACAGTACATAGAGAAGGCCTGGGTAGGAAGATAATCTTGCTTGGTTGCACCAATCTTTTGTTGGGAGGGACAGTCAATACAATAGAGGAGTAGAACGGGTTTCCAGTCGCATCGCCGGGCCACATCATTCGCATGGGTGGAAGTTACACCAGAAGGAGTTGGAGAATCGCCTGGAGGAAAAGGGCATCGTAATCAGTGTTGGAGTGACATGATGCCTCTCTCTCTATCTCTCACAGGCTGTGCGCGACATAGGGTGAGGAGTTGGGAAGGGGGTTTGGAATTATGCTGTCTGCCGCGTTCTCCAGTGTGGTGGTCCGTTCGTATGTCTCAGCTTGGGGACAGTGGTGAGGAACTGAGGATGGGCTGTATACAGAATTACAGATAGAATCCCTGGTCGGGTAAAGCTCCGCATAGTCGTAGGCCTGAGTCGAGTGAGTGGCTCAATTAGTCAACAGGTGTCTGTCAATGCGCAAGACAGTGAGCATACATGGTCACACCAGAATCAGAGAGAGTGAGAGTACTGCGATGTTGAAATAGAATTAAGAGAATCTTAAAGTGTTGGCTGATTGATTGATTGATTGATGGATGGATGGATGGATGGATGGATGGATGGATAGATGAGAAGGGAGGAACCAGAACAAACAGGCAGGTCGTCAGATAGTTGATTACAATTGTTATTATTATTTGCATAGTTCGTTGGTCCCTCCCAAAAGAGAAGATGAATGGATGAATGGAAATGGATGGCTGCTTCCTCTCTTTCCCCCCCTCCCCGTCCGCCTTCTCTTCCTCCCTCCTTCATCTCTCTCCTCTTCGATCTCCTCTTTGATCTCCTCCTTTTCTTCCTTCTCCCTCCCCTCCTCCCCCCCTCCCTCTCTCATCCTCAAATTACTGACAGTATTTTCCTTCTTAATTACATATTAAGCTATTGACCTCTGCTGCATCCTCTGTGACAGCATCC